AGCACAGTAACTCCCACTACCCTGTCACCCAGCACGGGCGGTCCAATTACCACCGGCCCGAGCACTGAAAGTCCAAGCACAGGAAGCCCAACTACGTTGTCGCCCAGTACTGTTGGCCCCATCAGTGCCAGTCCCAGCACCGCAGGCCCCAGCACGGCCACCCCGAGCACCTTGGCTCCCACTGTGACCGTTGGCGAACCCAGCGCCGCACCCACCACGGTTTCCCCCACAACTCTTGGCCCCACAAGTCAGAGTCCGAGCACTGACGCGCCTTCCACTCAGAGCCCAAGCACTGTCGGTCCCACAACTCAGAGCCCAAGCACCGGGGTGCCCAGTACCTTGTCTCCAAGCACCGGAAGCCCAACAACGGCTGGCCCTAGCACCGGTGTTCCCACGACGGTTGGCCCCAGCACGGCAGGCCCTACAACGGTTAATCCCAGCACATCGAGCCCCAGCACCGGCGGTCCGACTACTGTTGGCCCCAGCACGACGGGCCCAACTACCCTTTCGCCGAGTACCGTTGGTCCAAGCACGGCTGTTCCCAGTACCGCGAGCCCCAGCACAGTAACTCCCACTACCCTGTCACCCAGCACGGGCGGTCCAATTACCACCGGCCCGAGCACTGAAAGTCCAAGCACAGGAAGCCCAACTACGTTGTCGCCCAGTACTGTTGGCCCCACCAGTGCCAGTCCCAGCACCGCAGGCCCCAGCACGGCCACCCCGAGCACCTTGGCTCCCACTGTGACCGTTGGCGAACCCAGCGCCGCACCCACCACGGTTTCCCCCACAACTCTTGGCCCCACAAGTCAGATTCCGAGCACCGACGCGCCTTCCACTCAGAGCCCAAGCACTGTCGGTCCCACAACTCAGAGCCCGAGCACCGGGGTGCCCAGTACCTTGTCTCCAAGCACCGGAAGCCCAACAACTGTTAGCCCGAGCACAGGAATCCCCACAACCGTCAGCCCAAGCACGAGTGGTCCCATGACTGTTAGCCCCAGCACGGCAGGTCCATTTACTGCTGCTCCCAGCACGAGAAGCCCAACCACTTCCTCGACAAGTTCTTTAGCCCCCACCATTAACACGTCAGGTCCAACCACGGATTCGCCCTCTACTTTGAGTCCAACTATGTGCCAATATTCTACAACATCACATGACACCACCATTGGATTCGATGGTGACACATCATCAATCTCAGATGAGTCTCTCACAACGACCTTTGAAACATCATTCAATTCAGTTGAACAAGATGAATGTCCATCTAGCTTGGAATCAACAACTGTCACCGAAAGATCTACTAGGAGAAAACTTCAGGCCGGAGGCTCCAACAGCATCAAGTTTGAGCTCAGAATTCATTCAACAAATCCTATGACTTGGGTTGATTCAACCGAAACAGAATCTACATTCTTGACAACTTTTAATTCCGAAATTGAAGCATTTGGAGTCTCAGCGCTTCAGGTGGAAGATCATCCAGCACCAACAAATGCACCTACAGCCAGTCCAACAACAACCATACCTACCACATCCACACCCACTGTTGCAATAGACCAGCCCAGTATGACTCCCACCACTCTGATTTCCACCACGGATAGCCCCAGCACGTTGAGCCCGAGCACTGATGGTCCAACAACGGATAGCCCCAGTACAGCGAGCCCAAGCACTGCAGGCCCCACTACGCTTTCGCCCAGCACGGCTGTCCCCAGTACGGGGATGCCACAACCCTGTCGCCAAGCACAGCGGGCCCCAGCACCGGCGGTCCAACCACGACTAGTCCCAGCACCACAGACCAACCACCTTGTCGCCCCACGGTGAGCCCACCAGCGCCAGCCACCAAGCACATCCAACCCAGCACCTGGCTCCCACGGTTCCCGTTGGCGAGCCCAGTGCCGCCCCACACCTGTCCCCACGACCCTTGGTCCGACAACCGTTGATCTCTCTC